GGGAAGCAGCCTGGGGTGCTGATAACCCCCCCTGTCCTGGGGCTGCACTTATCTCTGAGCCCGGGGCTGTCCCTGCCCAGCTGAGCCTCCCTGGGTGCCTGCAGCCCGTGCTCGTCCCTCCCCCGCTGCTTTCGCCCACACCGAGGCTCTCTGAGCTCCCAAGTGCCGTTATTTGCCGGTCCCTGGGGTGGCTGTCGGGATCCAGAGGCAATCCCGCTCCCTGGGGCACTTCCTGTGCCTCGGGAACACCTTCCTGGAGCCCCTTGGCCTTCCCAGCTTGGAGGAACAAGTCCAAGGTTCCCAAGGCTGCCTGGAGGAGCTGGATCAGGATCCAGCACAGCCACGGGGCAATTCCCGAGCTGATAACAGGGATTTTGTGGTTTGCAGACCCGGATTGATTTATTTTCTGTGTATTTGTGTGTTTTCTGAGCTCCTCCCCCCCATGGCATATCTGGCCGAGCCCTGTCTGCCACCCATGGGTGCTCTCTCAAAAGCTGGGGTGCCACAACCCCTTCCACAGCCTCGGGAATGTTTGTGGGGCGTGGGGTGTTTGCACAAACCCTGATCCTGCAGGATTGGGTTTGCCCCCAGCCCCTGGGAAGGCTTTTTGTGGGGCTGGATTTAACCCTTGTCACGGGGGTGTCTCCTTCCAGAGCATTTTGGGTCTGGATTTGCATTTGGAGGGGGAGGTTACGGTGCCAAAGGCCCGGAATGGCACTGCCCTGGATGGGCTGGATGGGACAGGGAGCTGCTTGTTGGCACCAGCCTGGGCTTGAGCAAAGCCCTGAGCAAAGCCGGGGTGGGAGTGGGGTGAAGGGAGCCCAGCGGGGTCTGGCACCCCAAATCCCAGCTGCCAGTGCCCTACGCCAGCTCCCAGCACCCATCTCCCAGTGCTTCCAGTGCTCCCACATCCCAGTGCTCCCAGCACCCAGTGCTTCCAGCTCCCATTTCCCAGCGCTCCCAGCTCCCAAATCCCAGCATCCATCTCCCAGCGCTCCCAGCTGCCATTTCCCAGTGCCTCCAGCGCTCCCAGCACTGCCATTGCTCCCAGTGCTCCCAGCACTCCCAGTGCTCCCCGTCCCCCGCCGCTCCCCCCGCACCGAGCGCTGCTGGGCGACACGTGCTCCCCGCCTGGCCACGCCCACAGCAAGGTATGGCCCCTCCCACCACACCCAAAAAGGGCGTGGTCACGCCCACCCCCGTTTCGTAATGGCCCGGCCCCGCCCAACCAGGAAGCCCCGCTCCGAATGGCCCCGCCCCCTTTGGTCTGGCCCCGCTCCCATCGCGTGCGCAGCCGGCCCCGCCCACAAACTGTGCCCCCCCGCTCCCTGGCCCCCGCCCCCAACCCCCTCACGTGCCCCCCATCGTCCCTGCCCCTTTCCATGTCCCTCTCTTGTGTCTCTGTGCCCCCTCGGTGTCCCCAGACCCTCCCGGAGTCCCCTGCGGCTGCCACGTGTCCCCATCCCTGGCTGTCCCCGTGTCGCTGCTGTCCCCCGTGTCCTCTGTGTCCCCCCATGTTCCCTCCAATGTGCCTTGTCCCCCACCCCTGTGACCTCTGTGGCTCCCAGGTCCCCCCTGTCCCCAGTGTCCCCTTTGTCTCCTCAATGTTCCCTCTTGCCCCCCCAAACCCTCTGAGTACCCCATTTGTCCCCACGTCCCCCGTGGCCCCCCAAGTCCTCTGTGTCAGACCCAGGACCCCGCGAGGTGACCCTGTCCCCCCCCCATTATCACCCACAGCTGAGCCCTGCGGTGCCACCAGTTATTGTAGGACCTACAAAAAAAGCAGAGGCAGCTGAATCTGCACAAAAGGCCCTGGCTCAGCCCAAAGCAGGGGTGGGGGCTGTGCAGGGGGCTTCAGAGTGAACAGGGGGGTCCCGTGGGCACCCCGCGGACAGGTTTGGGACTGGGAGAAGGGGAACCTGGAAATCCCATCCTGGCCGTGCCAGGGGCTTCTCCGGGGCAGAGGGGGACAACTGGACATCCAACACATGGATGCCTGGGTGTGAGTGCTCATGATCAATTAATTAATTAATTTTATAAAGCACGAGGAGGGAGTGTCCATGGCGGGTAATGAACCACTGGGCATTTTGGATGAGCCACATTCCCAAATCCAAAAGCAAAGGCACGTGACAGGGTGGGGGTCAGTGGCCCTTAAATGAAGTGCTGTCGGTAATGAGGCTGGAAAATCCCAAAGGATGGATGGATCTGCTCCCTGCATCCCTGGACCAGCATCCAGCTTTTCCTGCTGTTAATGCCCCATGGATGTGATGCTCCATCCAGAGGGGATGCAGCTCCCAAGGGATTCCCCCCTCATCCAAGCGCTGCATCCCGGCGCTGCCACAGATCCCCCAGATCCCAAATCTTTGTTCCCTCCTGGCCTTTTTTTTCCTGCTCGTTTTTCCTCCCGCCGCCGGGAGCAGCGTCAGGCCAACACTGACATCAAGTGGCTGCCGGGATCCCTGGCTTTTCCCGGGCCTCATCCTGCCCTTCCCTGCGCCGGGAGCAGCCCAGCACCCTCCTCCTCCTGCCCGGGAGAGGGACCAGGCGGGCCGGGAGCGCTGCCAGCCGGGTCTCCATCCCTAGCCGGCCGGGATGCATCCAGCCGTGCTCCATCCGCCCGTCCCCAGCCAGGCCACCCCCGTGTCCTATCCTGTCCCCAGCACCAGTCGATATTCCCAGCGGGATCGAGCCGAGCGCCGAGCCGGGAGCGACCACGCGCATCCCTCACCCACGGGGACCCCCCTGCCCGCGGCACCCCCGGCCCGGGCCCTGCCCCGCCGCGGGCAAGGGCAGGGTGACAAAGGCACGGCGAGGTCGTGGTGGCCCCGCCACCGCCCGACTGTCCCCGCTCCCCGCCCGAGGCCGCGGACTTTGTGCCGAGCGCGGGAGCGGCGGCGGGGACGCGTCTGGCGGAGCTGGCACGGCCCCAAATCTCGGCTCCGGACCGCAGGTAACCCGGGGTGACACCCCGGCTGGGACATGGCCCCGCCCCGCCGATGTCAGGTCGTGATTCCCAGGTCTGGGCTCAGCCCCGGGGAGAAATCGCGGCGTTATTCGTTATTCCCGTAATTCGTTATTCAGCAGGGGAAGCTGAGGCGGAGTGGCCACACAGCCCTGCTTTTTGGGGGGGATAAAGGCTGGAAAATCCTATTTTTTCCCTCCAAATAGCCGGGCTGAGAGGCCCAGAGGAGTTTTGTAACTCCCTGTTCACCTTCATCCTGGCTTCCCTGAACCCGGAGCTGAGCTCCCCTGGGGAAGCTGAAGCCCAGGGTGGGGAAATTGGGATATTGGTTGCAGGTGGAGCTGGAATTAGGGGGGCAGGTGTGGGTGCTCAGCCCCTCTGCGGGAACCCACCCATGAGTGGGAAGGGGCGGGGTGTGCTGGGACTGGATTTAACTCCCGAGAGCCGCCAAGCTCTGGTTCTGGGCTGAGAGGGCAGAGCAGGGCTGGGCTCTCTGCCCTGTGATGAGGTGTGTTGGGTCTCTGCAGACCCCCAGCCCGGGGGTTTCTCTGGCTGAGCCCCCCGTGTGGCAGATCTGTGACCCTGCACAGTGCCAATCAGGGGGCTGGGGGCTGTGGTTCGGGGTTCAGGGCACGGTTTGGGGAGGGCTCAGTGATGCTGGTGGTTGTTTATCCCCCAAGTCCGGAAACGCTCCGCTGGGAAGGAAAGGGAGGGGGGAGCTGGGGCTGTTCCCAGCACCGGAGAGGGAGGGATGCCCTTGGTCCTACCCCAAGGCAGCCCCACATGTGTGGTACCAGTTGTCCTTGACCCCCAGCATTGCCCCTTCCCTCCCTCTCCAGCTCTCTGGTGGCTCTGCAGTGACCGGGAAGGGTCGAGGACCTGCTGGTGGCCTGGGACAGGAGGGACAGGACAGTGCCAGGTCAGTGCTGTGGCTCTCGGGGTGGGGTTTGGGTGCTGCTACCTGGCACCCTTGGGTGTCACAGGCCTGTCCTCCCAACCTTCCCATGGAGGGGACGTGTAAGGAAGCGTGTCCTTTGCCCTCCAAGTGTGGTTTTCCTGGGGATTTCCTGGCTGATGCAGGACGGGGTAGGGGAAAAACATCGGCTCGGAGCCTGAGGCGCTCCTGGAAAGGGGGCTGTCCTCATCCAAGGAGGGACCTGGCTTGAAAACTTGGTTTGGTCTCTTTGGGTCCACCAAGATGGACCTCTTGGGTGGGATGGGGAGTGTGGGTGCAGGTGGAGAGGTGAGGGTGGTCTCACTAACAGGGAGAAGGTGCAGGGATTCGGGGAGCAGCTGGAGACGTGGCCATTGTCTGCCCCAGCTGCCAGAGCCTTGGGGACACATCCAGCACCATCCTGACTGTACCAGCACCCTGTGAAGGGCCAGTGACACCACCATGTCCCAGGCAGGAGGTACAGGGGAGCCCTCTGTCCCTGGGGAGGCACAAAGGACCCCAGCACTGGCGTGACCCTCTGTTGTTCCCCCAAATCAGCACCAACCTCCATCCTGCCCTGGCCCTGTTTCTCTTGGATTTCTGATCCTGAAAAGCACCTTTCACCCCAAACCTGACCTGCAAGGTGCTGGGCTGCTCCAGGAGCTCCTGCAACAGCAGCTCCTGTCCCCATGTCCCATCTGCACTGTGTGGGGAGGGGGCTCGGTATGGATGGAGGGGGAGGGCACAGAAACAAGCACTGCGGAGATGTACAGGGGACCCTGCATGGCCCACCCTGCTCCATCCCCCAGGAGCTGAGGAGACCTTTGAGCACCGTGACGTGGTCATCAACACCCAGGACAAGGTCTCGGATCTGTACACGCAGCTGGAGAAGCTGGGAGAGTAAGTGTGTGTGTGTGGGGGGGGTCCCACATCCCCATCTCCTAGGCACGGTCCGTGGCTGTCCATGCACAGCCCTGGTGGGATGCAGGGGGCTGGCGGTGACTCCTCCATCCCTCACCCTCGCCCTGTCCCAGGGGGAAGTTCGGGAAGGTGTACCGGCTGCAGGAAAAAGCCTCCGGCAAAATCCGGGCTGGGAAGTATTTCCGGACCCGGACGGGCAAGGAGAGGGAGGCGGCGCGGGCAGAGGTGGAGCTGATGAACCTGCTGCAGCACCCCCGCCTGGTGCAGTGCCTCGCCGCCTTCCAGGGCCCCGCAGAGCTCGTCATGGTGATGGAGTAGTGAGTGAGGGGGTGCTGTCATGTGTGGGGGTGGTGGGGACACTGCCGGGCTCTGCCACGGGGAGCACCGAGGGTGGGGAGGGGTCCCTGAGCCACGGGGTGTCGGTGTGGGATGTAGGATGGAAGGGGAACCTGCAGACCCTGGAGATAAGGGTGGTGAGATGCACCCAGAGCATCAGCTCTCGTGGGTGGCAGACCCTGGTGGGGTCCCCAGCCCCTCGTTGTCCCCAGCGTGGCAGGGGGGGAGCTCTTCGAGCGCATCGTGGACGATGACTTCGAGCACACGGAGCCCAGCAGCGCCCAGTACGTGCGGCAGATCCTGGAGGGGCTGCAGTTCATGCACGGCAGGGCCATCGTCCACCTCGACCTCAAGCCCGAGAACATCGTCTGCGTCAGCCCCGACAGCCACCGCCTCAAGATCATCGACTTCGGCCTGGCACGGAGGCTGGGTGGGCAAGACTGGGGGGTCCTGGGGGTCCGGGGCAGGGATTGTCACCGTCACAGGGACGGGATTTGGCCCAGGACGTCAGCCAGGGGCATGGTGTCCTCCTGCCTTGGTGCCACCAAAACTGGCCCTTCCTGGTGACAACAAGGTGCTCTGGGGAAACCTGTGTGCCCCCAGCCCTGCTGCTGAGGTGGAGACCCCCAAGACCCCTGCACCTGTGGGTGTCCAGCACCCAGAGGTGCTGTAAGAGAGCACCAAGGCTTGTGATGGCTCCTGGAGGGTGGCAGCTCCACAGGCATGGGGGCTCATCCACTGCACAGGGGTTGGTGTGTCATTGGGCTGCTCCAGGAGGGTCCCAGCTGTACATGTGTCCTGAGGAGGTCCCAGACAGACACCTGCCCCTCCATCTCCTCTGCAGCTCCAGACACCCCTGTGAAGGTGTTACACGGCACCCCTGAGTTCATGGCCCCAGAAGTGGTGGCCTTCGAGCCCGTGAGCTTCTCCACGGACATGTGGAGTGTTGGCGTCATCTGCTACATCCTGTGAGTGGCCTCCTGGGAGCAGGCAGGTGGGGCTGGAAGAGAGGCTGAACTGCCACTGATGTCCTGGGGCCACCTCTGCAGGCTGAGCGGGGAGTCCCCCTTCCAGGGGGACACGGACATGGAGACGCTGAGCAACATCACGGCTGCCCGGTGGGACTTCGAGGAGGAGACCTTCTCCGAGATCTCCCCCCAGGCCAAGGACTTCATCAGCCAGCTGCTGCAGAAGGACCCCCGGTAGGACCTGGGGGTGGAGTTGGGTGGGGTTTTTTGGGGAAGTCCTGTGGGTGGTGGGTGGGGGTTGCTCCGTGCAGCCGAGGGTCTGATGGTGGAGCAGCCCCCCCGTGACCACCTGTCTGTGCCAGGCACCGGCTGTCCAGTGCAGGGGCTCTGCTGCACCCCTGGCTGCAGCACCCCCAGCCCAGCAGCTCCAAGGTGCTGTCCAAGGACAGGATCAGGCAGTTCCTGACGCGGCGCAAGTGGCAGGTACTGGGGGGAGGGGGTGATGAGGGCGTGGGATGGGGGTGGCTCTGGGTGGGGCTCAGTGTTCCTTCTCCTCCCTGCAGAAAACAGGGAAAGCCCTGCTGGCCCTCAACAGGCTGACCCTGCTGTCCCAGAGCCTGGAGAGGAAGGTGTCAGAGGCTCAGGATGAGGAAGGTGATGGTCCCAAAACACCCCTCATCAACCCTTCTCTCTGCTCTGCCATCCCCACCTTGGGCTCCCAGGCAGCTTCCCCCTCTTTTTGCTCCAACCTGTCCTGGTGCCACTAAACACCCCGGCATGTCCCCACAGTGGCATTTCTGCTCCAGGACCCAAGGTTCCTGCTCATCCTCATCCCTCTGGTGCAGCCTTGGAGTGGGTGGATCCAGCTCTGGGTGTGACCCAGATCTCTTGGGATCCAGAGCCGATCCCTGTGGGTGGATCCAGCGCAGGAGGGAGGTGATGACTCCTCACCATTCCCTCTGCCCCTCTCCCACAGGCCTGGGCTGCAGCCCACAAGAGGAACAACCCTTCACAGCTCTGCCCACACGAGGTCCTGGTTCCTCAGAGCTGCTGACAGACCAAGAGCAGGAGGATGGTGGGAGCACTGCAGCCCCAGCGGAGACAGAGAGCAGTGACGGCGTGGCAGTGTCACCCTCCTCCTCAACCACTTAGAGCAGCTGAGGAAGAGGAGCAGCTCAAAAGGTGACCCCTCCAGCCTGTGGTGGATCCAGACCCCCTCTCCTGTGGTGAGCTCTGGGGTGCCACAGTGTCCCTGTGCTGGTGTGGGGACAGCTGTACCTGCTGTCCCTGCAAGGAGCCCATGCTCCTGTCTCTCCATGGCCACCCAGGCTCGAGCTGTCACCATTAAAGCACCAGTGATCTCTGTATTCCCTGTGCTGCTCCTTTTTCCCCCAAAAATCAGTGGGAGGGGTGGGAAAAAGCTGCCCAAGCTCTGTCCCCACTTTGGGAGCTGGTATCGGGCTCTTCCCCCCTTCTCCTATCCAGCAGTGATGTTGAGGTGGCTTTTGCAGCAGCCCTGGGTGTCCCTCGGTTGGAAGGGTCTTCCCTCATCCTCCAGGGAGGTTGGGATTGTGTCCTGAGCCCACAGGAGCCAGGATGAACCCTGGGGCCTTCTCCTCTCCCCATTTCTGGGCCAACCCTGGTTCCAGCAGGGCTGACAGGAGCCCAGGACTTGCTGTGTGAGCTCCATCCTCAGCCTAAGGAGGCAGCTGGGGAAGAACTGGGGATCTGGGAGCCCTGGAGAGGATCAGCCTGGACACTGGGCTGACCAGGAACTGTCAATGGGCCCCTGGCACCAAGGGGTGAGTGGGGTCCTGGGCTGCAGGATGTGCTACCAGCAGAGTTCAGGGGCATCCTTCCCTAATTCAGCACTGCTGAGGCCACCCCTGGGCTGGAGCCCTTCCCCAGTGAGGAATGGCTGGGAGAGCTGGGAATTAACCTCACAAAACACCTTTTTACTGGTGATAGAGCAGTGAAAACCCCCCTCCTGTGGCAGCTGGGCTGGGGGCTGCTCCCCTCCAGAGGACTCACAGAAGGACCCTGGGTGGAGCAGTCTAGCCCTGTGCCCACTGCCAGGGGGCAGCTGTGACAAATAATGCACAGCTCTCACTCTTCCTCCTCCTCTTCCTGGGCAAGGCCATCAGGGGGGAGGAGGAAAGTGTCATTTTTATTAAACAGAACCAATACACCCCCCCTTGTGGGGCACTCCTGTCTGAGAGCTGCTCTGGGGACGTGTCACCTCCCTGTCCCCTCGCTGCGGTGTCGACTCTCCAGCTGACAGGGCCTTATCAGTGCCCAGGCACGACTGGAGTTTTTGTGGCTAAAGGCTGTTCCTGTGAGTAATGTCCATGGCTCTGGCCACGGGAAGGACAGAGGGCTGTGGGGTGGCAGATTGTCACAGGCCCTGCCTGGGGGTCTTGTCTCTTGTTGGGAACAGGAGATGGAATTTAGGAAGGGACTTAATTTGGAAACTGGTGTGTGGACTTCCTGCTGGAGAAAGAGGAGTCCTTTGGGGACCCTCTTGGAGAAAAGGAGGCTCAGGGGGCACCTTCTTGATCTTTGCAACTCCCTGACAGGAGGGGGAGCTGAGGGAGGTCGGGCTCTGCTCCCAGGGAACAGGGACAGGAGGAGAGGGAACAGCCTCCAGCTGTGCCAGGGCACACGATATCCAAATATTGGATACTGGGAAAAACTTCTTCATGGATAGGGCTGTCCAGGCCTGGCACAGCTGCCCAAAGAAGTGGAATCCCCATCCCTGGAGGGCTTTAAAAGCCATGTGAATGTGGCACTTGGGGACACGGGTTAGTGGTGGCCTTGGCAGTTGGACTCTGATCCCGGGGGGGCTTTTCCAACCTGAATGATTCCATCATTCCTTGCAGGGTCCAACAGCTGGCTGAGACACCTCCTGACAGAACTCACCTGCTTCCTCTCCCTCCCGTGTTTTCAGCAGGAGACATGGATTCTCTGCTCTGAGAGGGAGCAGGAGCTCCTTAGAAACAAACAAACAAACGGAAATATTCCGTGTTCTACCCACAGCATTTGTTTTCCCATCCCAGAGTACCAGAGGGGAGGCCAAGGAACCCCTTTCACACACATCCCCATCCCGGTTTTTGCCCGTTCTCTATCCCGTGTTTTCCTCGTTACACGGATTCCAAACCCCTCCCCTGGGAGCCCTCTGACTGTGCTCAAGCTGCAGATGATAAGCAAACACCAAGTTGCTATAATCAATCCCTTGATGAGCTATTTACCATGTGACGTTACCAAAATATTTCTGGTTGGGAATGATGTTTATCTTCCTCTGTTTTCCAAACTCCTCGCAGGCCTGAAAATCCGAGTCCCAGGACTCCAGACATGGAGTTTCTTGCTCTAATCCTGTATTTTATACTGTAAAATAAAAAAAATGATTTACCTTCAGAAGGAGCTGGTTTCCTGACAGAAGGCACATTGTTCTTCTCCTTCTGCTGCTTCCCATGGCTTAGCACGTTAAAAAGTGCAATTCAGGAAGGAATGAAGAGTGGAATTATACCTGGAACTCATTATAGCCACTGAGAAATTCAGCAGCACTGAAAATAGAATTCTAATCTCAGCATCTCAGAGGCGAAGGAATTAAGATCTTGGTCCTTCCATCAAGACAGACCCTTGGACTGACCTTCACTTCAGGCACACAACTTCAGAGTAGGTCCTGAAATGCTCAGGAATCCTCCATGGAGGGAGAAAGGATGAATGATGCCCCCTGGAGAACCTTGGGAGGTGGTTGCCACCTTATCTCAGGTACCCCTGGGGTCCAGCTCCTTGGAGGGATGTGAGGTGAGATCAGTCAGCTGTCCAAATACCCTCGACCTTCTGGAGCTCAATCCTGCAGTTCCAAGGGATCTGATAACCCTGGGCTGCACATTGTAGGTCTGGGAATGCTTGTTTGGATGAGGGAATGTTGCCTGGGTAGCTCCAACATCAAAAAACTGGTTTTTTGGTTGGGGTTTTTTTGAGGACCTACAAATTCAGTGGGAAAAAAAAAAGCCTAGAAAATACAATGCCCTGCTCGAGTGTTTTCCAGGGAGTGGAAATTAATTAAGAAAACAAACTGAGATCAGCCTTAATGTAAAAAATGTAGCCCTGGGCAGATACTGAAGATGATTATTTGAATGTGTCATTTCTAGAACGGTTCTTTTAAGGACTTTTATTGCAGGGAGTGAAGAGCCCTGGGGTAATTCGAGTTGTCAGATAAAACCTTCATGTATCAAACACCAGAAAAGTGGTGAAAGGGGAGAAGACACGAGGCTACGAGGACCTGGTAGCGACAAGGACGTGGTGGTGACAGATGCAGGGGGGGCTCAGTGGAGAGAGAAGGTGCTGAAGGAACATCAGGAACACCTGAGCTGTGATGCTTTCACCCCTCAGCAAAGCTCCCCGGGTGAAGGGGACACCCTCACCTGGGTGTCCTCACTTCCCAAAGGTCCCAGACAGGTTCTGAGGGGTCAGGATGACTCTTTGTGGTTGCAGGAGCTCAACAACCATCACCCCAAGGTGCAGCACCCAGGGGAAGGGCAGAGAAGAGTCACGAAGTCCCCCCAGCCAAGTGACCACAGCTGGTTTGGGTGGTCTCCAGTCTCTGGAGACATCCCTGTGTCTGGGGTTGGGATGAGGGGTGGGCAGGACACCCTCCCCACCCCATCCTGGTAGCACTGGTGCAAGGACTGCCATGTCCAACCGGCACCAAACACCTCCAGCAGCCCAAAATCCAACCTCAGCTCTCCTTCCAGCTCTGTTCTGTGCCCACGGGAATCAGCAGAACCCCAAATCCCTCATGGATGGAACACCTCCCCGTGCCAAGGGGGGCACAGGCCCCGTCCTTCCCAGCACAGAGGCCCCGTTTTTTTTTTTTCAGAGCCGGCTCTCAGAGCCTCCACCCCCCCGGCAGCCCTGCCCGCGGCCAGGAGATGGTACTGTTGGGCTGGTCCTGCTCCTGCCGCCGATCCCGAGCCTCGCCCGCCCCTTCTCACCTTTCCCAGCCGAGGGCAGGGAGGTGTTGCCGGCGTGGGCCTGGGAGCTCTGGCTGCACTTGGTTTCATCCCAAACAGGTTGCCCAGAGAAGCTGTGGCTGCCCCTGGATCCCTGGAAGTGTCCAAGGCCAGGCTGGACGGGGCTTGGAGCGACCTGGGACAGTGGAAGGTGTCCTGCCCATGGCAGGTGGGACTGGGTGGGCTTTGAGGTCCCTCCCAGCCCAAAGCATTCCATTATTTTATGATCCTGGCATGCAGCTGGATGCTTATGGGGGTCTCCCAGACATTGGGGTCCCCTCTGCCCGATGGCAGAGCCCGTCCCCGGTGTGGGACAGCTCTGGGTGCAAGCCCTGGTCCCACACACGGTCCTGGTGACATCTTCCCCCCTGAACACCCCTCTGGGACTGCATCGGGGTGGCTGTCCCTGTCCCTGCCGGGCCTCACGAGGCCTTCCCTTAAAAACCCGGATCAGGGAACGAAATATTTAACGAAACGCTGAAATATTTAATGGCACAAAGACATTTAAACCACAAAGGGGAGCTTTGGAAAACGAGAGCAACCCCAAATGTGGGTGACCCCGATTTTGGCGTTGCTGAGCTGCCCCGACCTCCCCGATGCCCACAGGTGACGCAGCGTCACGCCGGGGGAACCTCGGGAAGCGGTGGCGTGTCCCCCACCTGGAATTTGGGGTTTGCAGAGGGCGGGATGGGTCGGCAGAACAGGTCTGGCACGTTCCCCTGGTCCCTGTGGTGCCGAGGGCCAGGTTTGACACCGCGGCGGGGCTTGGGGGCCGGAGATGCCGCAAGAGCCGGGCCAGGATTCTGGAGCACGGGGGATCCTGGGGGTGCTGGGATCCCCTCCGGATCCATCGCCCACCCATCGCTCAGCAGACGTCCCCTCACATCTGAGATTTGGGCGAATTCTGCCAAATCTCAAAAAAAAAATCTCACCGTATGGCACCAAATCTCACCGAATATTGTTGAATCTCACCAAATCTCACCGGATATGGGTGAACCTCCCCAAATCCCAGTCAGTCTCACCAAATCTCAGTCACTCTCGCAGAATTCCACCAAATCTCAGTAAATGTCTCCAAAGCTCACCAAATTTCATCAGACCTCATTGAATCTTGGTGAAGCTCACCCGGCTTTGTGCCGGCCTGCGGCACAGCAGGAGCATCGCGGGCTGTAAAATGAAATAAAATAAAATAGTAAATAAAAAATAAAAGGAAATAATTAGGATTTTCAAATAGAGGAAAAATAAATTGAAATAGTAAACAGTAAGAAATCAAAGTGCAAATGAATTAATAAAGAAAATGAAATAATAAATAATATAAAACAAAATCAA